CTATACCCACGCCCTTCTTTATATATATTAAAGTCAGAAAAAACGAAGATTGTTATGTTCATGTTTAATAAGTTTGAACTATGAATATTTATACGTACAATTATTTTGTCGTACATTTCATCAAAAAAGAAAAACTAATAGTTATTTATTCTTCAATATAGTTCCATTTGCTGTCAAGCTATATTAGTTAACACATGTTTACCACCTATTTGATTTTCTTTTCCATTTATCATGTAAATTTTCTGGTTTCTTGATATTAACAATACGAAAACTCTCTAGAATACAAAGAAAAAAAATATTCAGATATATATGAATAGAAGAATTCATTTGATAATTTTTTCATTCCAATCTAGAAAAGCTATTAGCACAATTCTTGTAGAATTAAAATATGAAACAGAATATAGCTGTTGTTGCCAATTGACATTTCTTTGTCATGGATCTCGAACAGAACAATGCTCCAATTATATGGATAATTATGCATGGATATCTGATATTTATTTGTAATTTTCTGTCACATTCTCTGAAGCCTGCCAGTGGGGGAGAGAAAGGGATTGCAAATCTTTACCACTAAACACTTCAACACTCCTTTCGGATTGTTTTTCACAGAAGTATTAGTCTTTCGTTGTGTTCGATATAACACCAAAGAACACTTTATATTCTTCTAATTTCAAGAAAAGAATCAGAGAGTTTGATTTGAATTTATTTACAAAAATAACTAACGAGAGAATCGTTTGATTTTATGGTGACGTTCTGTTGAATTTAGACTATAGATTTCAATAATATGGGAGCACGACTGTTGTGTGTAAGTAGGGAACTACAAAGTGGTCTCGGGACCGGGACCGAGACAGGAACAAATTTTCCACCTGATCCTGCTGATTATGTTTTTTATCGAAAATTCGGTTATCATTTGTTTTATCTGGACTAAAAATCTCCAAAATTAATCGTTTTTATCATCAATTTCGGTAAAATTCCTTTATGAAGCTCCAATACTGTGTCAAATTATCTCAATCTTTCGATATTTTGTGCGAGTTTTTCAGTATTTGAAATAAAACATAAATAAATTTGATTCGACAGAATTTTCAGCTTATCTTCACTATATTTTTTGGCATTTTATTGCTATGACCTAATAATGATTTTTTAGTTTTGTTGTTCTATTCATTTGTATTCAAAACAATACTTCGACACTTGTTCGTGATAGAGAAATCGATATAAAACTTAGGTTTAATCTTGCAAAAATGTTTCGACAGTAGGTTCATAAGGCTCTGCATTTGATGCAGTCAGATGAAATCTCTAAATAACACGTGTTTAAAACCGATCATTGATGTTATTAAAAAACAGGTTGTTGAATTCCAGAAACGATACCACATCTATAGGATGGATTTCAAGCTCAATAAAAAAATTTTCAAAAGGACCGAAACCAAAACAAAGTCATCTTGCAGTATCCTATGTATAAGACAATTATGTGTTAGATATTTGTGTGCAAAATGAGTGTGTGATATGTGCAAATAAATATTTTTGTCACAAAAAATATTGAAAGACAATGAATTTTATTAGTTGTATGCAATCTAGCTATATATTTCTGTTTGTTGCACTGTGTAGATCGCCAGTATACTTTATTTTCATGAGTACGTTCTTGAATGTAATCAAAACCGTTCTCAATCAGAACTGGCGGCTTGCCTGTTTCAGTTTTATAACATAAACTTGACATTATGTGTGGATACTTCCAGCACGACCTATTTGATAATGAATTTTGAATGACTGTAAATGGATATCCTCTACTATTCTCACTCGGTTAAATACTTTCAAGGAAGATTGATCAATCTGCATGCACATGACCGTCTGTTCTCATAATTTTCTTACACACAACTGTCTATTCTCATTATTGTTTTTCACACAACAGTCATAGACCCCAATACTATATGAAAATGCCTGCATAAGAAGCAAGTACTATTTTATATCTATTCATATGGGTGTAGAGTTTTGATAAACAAAGAATATTTTCAACTTGAAATAGTCTCCTTATAAGATGTTTAGTTATGGAAAACATAAATTTCAAATTCAAGTCTTACCAAGAAATTCATTAACATCAATTTTTCCATCTTTATCAAAATCCATTGCAGAAATGACTTCTTCAATATATGTTTGACTAACATCATTGTTACCATTTTCACCGTAAAATATTAGTTTAAGAACATCACAAAATTCATCACGACTTATAAAACCTATGATATATATATATATATATGCGCGTAAATGATATACGTTTCTCAAAATGATAGATATATCTTACCCGAATGATCAGAATCAATTAAATTAAATAATGTCATAAGTGTATCTTTCCACATATAGAGATCTTCCATAATACCTGTATGAGTCTGGAATTATAAAAGTATAGTATTGATTTATTTTAATATTTATGCATACTTTTTGAAATTTTGTATTATGTAATGCATAATCTTCAATTGTAGTATTATATAGAACTCCTTGTGCATCTTCTCTTACAAATTTTGAACGTAGAGTAAGCCAAGGTAAATCAATTTGAAGAATATTTTTCATGATATCAGACCAAACAGTTGGTGATAAATATTCTATATAGACAAAGAAAATTATATATTCAATAAATTCTATTAAAAATTCAATACCAGTTTGATTTTTATCTGCTTTTTCAAATTCTTTTTTAAGTAAACTTTTCTTTGCTACAATTTTCTTCATTAATGTTTGATAAACTGGATCTTCAAATAATGTTACTCTTTGAATAAAAACAAAAAGAATAACAAAAAAAAACATATATCTATCTTAATTATTTTACTTTTTATTAAAACTTAATTGTTCATTTGGATTTATATCTTGTAATGTAAATGAAGTCATTTCTGGTCCCTCGGCCATATAATCCCTAGAATAAACTTTATAATTGAAAAAAAGAATCTCAAGTACAACTCTTAACCATCGTGCAAAAGCACCATAATTGGATCCATCACAATAATTTGATGCACTGAAAATAGTTAAAACATTTCCATTATGATCAAAATCATAACCTCTTTCTTTGACTTGATGTGAACGTATAATCATTGAAAAATTATTTTCACTAAGAAATTCTTCTGTTACATCTGAACCAAAAAAACAACCGATACATCTATTATCATTATTTCGACAACCGGAACAATTTTCAGGATCTGGATCACTCCATAATAGATCTAATTTTATTTAGTGTAAAATGTATAAAATAATATATTTATATTACTGCGTCTCAAATGATTTTTATCTCTTCGTATTGTTTTACATTTTATCACTAGACATTTTTAATTTATTAAATTTCTTATATATAGAAGGAAAGCCCAAAACGCGCTGCATCTGATGATATATTTGCATCGAACAACAAATGAAGTCTGAAGTATAAAAAGTGTATTAGAAAAAGATGTGCCATTTCTTTTACCACGAAATTTGACCAAAATCTTAAAATTTTAGAATAACTTTTGATTGAAACCAGATAGAAATCTGCGTTTATCACTGTTGAAAAGGGTACATAAAGATACATTGAATTCTATACTTCGCATAAACCTGACAAGTTCTGTTAAGGTGTTTAGCGAACTTTTCTTCAAAAAATCGACTTTTTCGTAATTTAAAAAAAAAATCACATTATCCTTAATAGAAGTCTCGATTTTTTGAGAAAAGTTCACTAAAGTCTAAAAAAATTTATCAGAAATATGTGAAGTATAGAATTCAATTCATCTTTATGTACCCTTTCTAATGGTGAAAACCACAGATTTTTATCTCGTTTCAATCAAAATTTATTCCAAACACTAATGACTTTTCAGACATTTTCAAGGTGCCCCTCTTTTTCGACACTTGCTGATTTTCGAAGATGGTACAACTGATCAAGCTGAAATTTTTAGCACAGATAGAGCACTAGAAATAAAGAGATACGTGTTCGCGGAAAAAAGATTTTAAAATAAGTTTTTGTGGAGTTTTCCAGAGGTCCACATCCTGCTATATTACGAGTCTCCTTAAAGTTTGTTCAATTAGGCTGAGATTTTGTTTATTGATGCCTAACACTATTCCTCAGAGGTAAAATTAAGGATTTTGAAAATCTCACCTTCTTTCTTTTTTTATAAGAGATATACGCTATGATTTGAATTTGTGGTTCTGATCTTGCCTTTCGCGATCCTGTAACTCCGAGTAGGACCATCAAAAATGAAAATACTCGATTTTACCTCTGAAGAATATTCCAGAGTATTCGTGGTAAAATTTTCAGCTCAATAGGACAAACTCAAATGGGAGTCGTAAGCAACCAAGATCTAGAAAATCGCTGTTTTACAGAACGTTAATTAAAAGAAAAATATTTAAATAAGATTACTACGAAAAAAAAACTTTTCCTCAATCTAATAAATAGATTAAAGTAAGATATTTTGAGTCGAATAATTTCTCTAGCTGCGTATGACACCTCAGACTATCATATATTGGGCTCAGCTCAAAATCGAGTTTTGGATCAAAAAAAAGAGGGGCGCGGATACCTTTAAGATTTTGATCAATTTCTATAATAAAAAAAATGTCATTTCTTTTTTATATACACCTTTTATATCTCAAACTTCATTTGTGGTTCGATGTACATATACCATCAGATGCAGCGCGTTTTGGGCCTTCTTTCTATTTATAAGAAGTTAATAAATTGAAAAAGTCTAGTAATAAAATCTAAAAAAATACAAAGAGAGAAAAATCATTTGAAGTGCACAATATAATAGTACCTACGACTTGAAGATATTCCTCTTGCTCATCTTTAGTCAAACATTCACCAACATATTTCGAGTTTGGTAGTATAATCATTGAAATATCTACAGAGTCATAAACATAAAAAAATCTAAATTTGCACTTTTATTTTAATCTTACATCGATTTCTTTCAAGAGAATTTATTTGCTGTAAATCAATTCGGGTAGATATGCCTCCATGTACTATCATAATATTAGATTTTCCTGTACCAACACATGAATACATTGGTAGCCAACTGAAGACATCTTTAAACAGATCAATTAATTGGTTTTTACAGTTCTAAATATATCTTCATTAGATTAACGGATTTTTCTATAAATTATAAACGAACTGGATATTTGTTATTAATTTCCTCTTGAAAACCATATTGAGCTGTTATCATTATGTCTTCATGATTACCTTTTGTTTTTTAAACAAAAATAAAAATTAAATAAAGATATGTTCAATGAAAAAATGTTTACCTCGATTAAGAAATACTGAACTTGGATAGAGTATAATAGCAGTTAGAAGTAAAAGCATAATTTCAATTGATTTTGGACCTCGATCAACAAAATCTCCATTAAAAATATATGAATTATCAGCTGCAGGTAGTCCATTCTAGAAATAAATAATTCAAATAGAACCAAACAAACAAATATTTTCTTATAAAAATATTAATTTACTAAATTAAATATATGTAATAGATCAGCCAATTGTCCATGCAGATCACCAATAATATATATATGATGTAAATTAGATAAATTAATATGATTGACATTTGGTAATGTTTTAAGTATAGAACGTGCTTGATGAATAATTAAATAGACATATTTTTCATGCAAAATCTATTAATAAATTATTGAGTAAATTAAAGATTCTATGGCCTGGAGAGCGATTCGACCTATAATTCTTATATTTTATGAAAACTATTGGAAAAGCTTCACGAAATTTGACTGTATCTTGAGGAGAAGTACAAGGGTCTTCGCGCCGCTATTCTTTCTCGCTCCCCGATCATCACTTTTTGCTAGAATATCAAAATATTTGAGGTACGGCTTGACGTACAAAATCTGAATTTTCGTTGGATTTTAGAGAAAATAATCGTAAAGTTCAGAAAACGAAATCCTATATAGGAATTTTCCAAATTTCGAAAATTTATAGTCGAAGATCAGTAAAAATCTCAAGAGGAAGAGTTAACCAATCAAAATTTTTAGTGAGAAAAATCATATATTTTTGCCATTTTTTATGGAAAATCCTTTATTTTAGAAGAACATAATCTTATAAGGATTCCTATTTTTCTATAAACTCATAATCGGAGATGAGTCTATGGCATACGTTTGATTTTATTTATTTGATATTGTTATTGACTATTCGAAATATCTCTTTACAATAGCCTGATTCCAATCCGGTGTGCGTCTTTTTGTTCTTACGTAATAATATTTATAAAAATACTGAATATTTACTAAAGTCCTATTGTTTAGCTTTCGAAATAATAAAATGACATATATACAAAGTCTTAATGAAATAATAATACGGTTTGTCAACGGAAGGAAATGTGATGGTATGCTGGAAAAATGTCGAAAAGTAAATATGGAAGTAGAAGAATATCGTAAGAGAATCATATCAGAAAAAATGATGTTCTCAATAAATAGTGACTGTAAACATGGCTAGTTCACTGTTGTTTTTCTTATAATTATAATAGTATAGAAGTTTGACCAGTGATGGTTTTGATGATTAATACCTGATAAGAATTATATAAGATAGTTAAAGGAAGAACTATTATATTAACTAAAATTCTATAGTCACGACCGAAACTACTGCATCTTAAAATGACGTAACTCAATCAATATCTCTAACTATTTCATTCATAAATTCAAATAAATGAAAATCTGTACTCGTAGCAGATGACTATGTTTTCAGCCTGAATAAAACAACAATCTTTTGTTGTTAAGCAGAAAACATGGTAAATCAACTTTTTTCATTATCTCTATTTGGTCACTATTATAACATTAACTTAATTCATATTATAAAATATATTCTTCACTATTCACAACTCTTCAAAACATTTATCAATCAGTTTTCCTCTTGGTTATTTCGATATTTTTACGGCCAACCAATGTGATTCTGTCACGTTTATGTATAATGAATGAAGGACTGAGACAGCTTTGCAGTTTCTCATTTTGAAAAGTACAACTCTTCGTCCAAAATCCTCAATGCATTTAATCCTAGACATTGAGTCGTTTGTAGATAATGAAACAAATAAAGCGTAACGGAATCACGTTTTAGGTGGAAAGGTCGAATATCATTTCAAATGTATAATTTAGAAGTAAATTAAAAAGCATTTTATGAATATACGAAGAAAGTTTTTCACATATTTTTTTGGAATTTCATTTTTATCATATATGAACACAATTTAGATCTATTACCAATAAAATTTTTATCAATTTATATATAGGTAAGGCTGAGCTATTTAAAAAAAAACTATTCATCGTTGCGGAGTTCGTTACGGAATTTCGTCTTTTTTGACTCTCTAATGACAAAAGTTTAACGTCTTTAAATTTCCAATTATCATGATAGAAACTCATATTTCTTCCAATCCAATAGTAATATACAAATTCGTACCATCCTCAGTATGTCAGTTTCACTCTCACAACGAGAAGACTTTTGATGTGTGGTCTATTTTTCAGAGAAAAAATGCAATGTAATACAATTCAATACTAAATTTGTATGATGAGATTAGTCGAACAGTTTTCGTTTTAGACAATTATCAGATAAAAACAAGACTTATATTTTATCTTTGTTAGTTGAAGTCTTCCTCATACGACGACGGCGAGCGAGCTGTGGCTACGCCGCTCTATTTCTTTTCATAATCTATGTAAATTATCAATATATTAGTTAAACAATGAAAGAATGATTATGTAATAAAAAATAAGTATATTTTAAATTTTGTCATTGTATTTTAAAAGGGCAAAACCAGTGTTACGAAGTTTCAGATTTTCAAACTGCAACATCTATATCTTTTCAATGATAAACATAAAGTCTCTAAAATTTTTACCATACAAAGAGACTATTTAGACCTACTGTCTGTATGAATATCACTGATTCTTCTTTAACGAGAGCAGAGTTATTTAAAAGAATATCGAACGTTATAGAATTTCCAAAATGGAATCCGTGTACTGGAAGTTTAAGGCTCTAATAAGAAACTAGGCAAAAAATAAATAAACGCCTACCTAAACATTATTCAACTTTGAATAAGCTTTCGAAATATAAGGTCATTTCTTCACACGAGCGTTTGTATCAAACAGAAAATGAAAGATACTGTCCGTTATGAAATTTCATCTTGTTTTTTTTTTGACATTCTAATGAGGATGGTTGAGGAATATGAACTTTTGATGAACGATCGCTTCGTCGAATATAAAGAAGAAAGTGCATTTATTGAATTAAGCAATATAGTCTATCATATTATTTCATTAATCACCTTAAAAAATGTTTCTCCTTAGAGTATCACTACTCATTCGTGATAATACAACTTTTTTTTAAGTAATAGAGAAGATGTCGATGCATAGTTTATTTATTTTTAATTTAAATTAATCCAAATAAAAGTTTTACTGAAAATAAAACTCAATAAATTTATATTTAAAATTTAATTAAAATTAAAATTTTTATTTTAAAAGGAACTAATTTTTTCAAATCAAAATTTTCAGCTTAAAATAATTCAAATTTTTGTAAATTAAAAATTACAAAAAGTTAAATTCTTAATTTAATAATTTATTTAAAATTAAAATGTTTGCCTCTAAAAAATTGTATACAAAGGATACTCGAATGTTCTAAAATTTAATAAGATTATTTTTTTAACGTCAGTAGCATCGAAAATCTAGAACTCGTTTCGAAATTTTTCGAAACCGCTTTACTCATTGATTTGACAGCTTTGCAAATCGCAGAAAACCGTCCGAGAAAAAACTGAACAAAGCATACACATAAGGGAAGAAAGAATTTTACCTTTAATTCTGCTTAGTCTTTCTTAGGACGAACTTTCCATTGAAACCTTTTCCATAAAAGACTTCAGTTGATTCTCATTTTATAGTAGATAATTTGTACTTTAGTTGAAGAACTTTTATGCAATTTCTTTCCAAGAACTTAATTTTTTATTTATCATGTATGTTTAATTGTTGTGTAGTGGATTATACATTTACACGATTAATTGAATAAGAGATTGAACTATATCGGTTAATTCAATTAATACACTTTATTCTTTATATGTGACGAGATTTGCTAGTGCCAAAATTTTAAATGCTCATAATAAAAATCCATTTCTTTCTAATCTGTAAGTAGTATTAAGAGAGTTCTATCATTTAAGCGATGGAATCTTACTCTTACAACAAGAATCGGAACATAAGTGTTGTCAATTTTTTAGGCAAAAATGAAATTTAATAAAGTGTAAAATTAGTGAATTAATTTCTCTTTTAGATAGAAAAGGAATTTCTAATATATCTCATAGTTTTGAGTGTGTTTGATAATCTGTTGAGAGTGTACTTTCGATCGTAGAAACGCTATTCTTTATTATTCGATAGCTAAAACATTTTCATAGATGGTTGACTGCTGGCTGGTTTTGTCCAAAACTAGGCTATGACATGGTTTTTGATGCTGAGGATAAGTTGGCTCAAGTGCCAAATATAATATTATACTCGATTTCGAGTCAAACATTAACTTGATCAGAACGATTCGAAATATCTCAAAATTTAAAATAAGAAAAAATCGATGGAATAATTCTGGAACGCTATTGTATTTGGGAATATGGTACAGAAGTGCAAATGGATGTTATTTTAGTAAAAGAACTCATTTTTTTAGTGAAAACTTAATCTACTAATTGGTACGATATAAGATAAAAAATATATTTAAGCGAAATAAGTCAAATTTTAGAAGCAAAAGAAAATCGCGTCACTTCCGGATCATTTACTTTTCTATAGGACTTTATGCTTTCTTTCAGTTTTATTGCTATGCTTTATGTAAGAAACTAAACTGTTTTGTATGAAATAAAAATTCGAAAATTATAATAGGATCGTTAAAGTATTTTCTCGATTTCAACTAGTTTCAGTTTGGTAGAACGAACAAATCTCGGAATGAAATCAGTTGCAAAAAAAGAAAACAACAATACTTCTATATAGGTGCTTCGCATCTATGGATTCATGATCAGTGACCTTAAATAATGAACTTTAAAGACTGAAGATTCGTATATGTGTAGGTTATTCGATATTAAAATACTGAAAAACGAAAAATATTAATGATTGACATCCTTTATAAGTTTTCTTTATCTATGTAAAAGATCTTCTCATGTATAATAAATCAATTTATGCAATAAATAGTCATGTGATCTTTTTTAAAAGCCTTTGTGAAAATGTCTTTCCATATCAGAGTTAAATGGTTACGGATATTTCTTGAATAACATTTTATAGGAACGAGCAGACTAAAACGCATTGAATCATGTATAGAGAGATTTTTCTAACAATTTTTCTAAGGATTTTACATAAAACTTCAAGACAAGTAGGATGTTTCTTATGGTTGCGATATTACTTCATTGATTTCGAGGAGTGCGCTAAAACCGACAAACAAAAAGCTATAAAAACCGGTAACACGAATGATGCTCCCCGGACACTTGCTCTCACGACAATTGCTCCCCGGACAATTGCTCTCTAGCGACAATTGCTCCCGCGACATTTGCTCTCGTGACATTTGCTCCCCAAGGACAGTTGCTCCCCAAGGGCAATTGCTCCCCGGACACTTGCTCTCCTATGACAATTGCTCCCTGGATACTTGCTCCCTGATGACATTTGCTCTCCTATGACATTTGCTCCCCTAACACATGCTTTCCAATCACATTTGCTACCCGGACACATGCTTTCCAATCACATTTGCTTCCCGGCCCATGCTTTCCAATCACATTTGCTCCCCCACTTCACTTGGCCTTAAGCTACGGCTTTTTTGTTGACAAATTCAACATAATGGGCGTGGATGTGGGTGTGGCTAGGGCTTGAGTGTGTGTGTGGCTAGGGTGTGGGATGTGGATATGGGTATGAGGTGGGTGTGGAGTGGGTGTGAGTGTGGGTAAGAGCCCTTCGGGTCCAAGATTTTTGGACCCGGACTCGGATCCATTTACAATTTGCTACACCTGTACCCGGAACCGGACGAGCTTGTTTAAAAAATGTTGGACCCGGACCCAACCCGGAGGGTGTGGG